TACTTATTAAAATGTTCAGTAACAGTTATGCTGTTTTGATCAATAAGATAACATGACAGGAAGGGGAAGGTGAATGGTAGTTCTTAGATATGTACAACAAAGAGAATTTTCCCCCACAATTTTCACCTTTCCAGAAGCTAGGGAGATCAATAAAGCACCAATCAATGCTTATAAGGCAAAATAATAAAGTAAAAACTTAAACTGCCTCTTATAAGAAAGGGGTGGTGTAAATAAGTTAGGAGAGAAAATCTTATTCAATAGGTGGTGTTGATGTTGAAATGAATGGTTAAATATTTGCAAGAAACAGTTAAGCACAAATCAAAAGAAATTCCACAGAGAGTAAATTACACATGCACATGACAGTGTATATGTAGTTACAGATATAAATATATACATATCTAAATAAAAATATAGTTAAACATGGAAGCAGTGGGAATAATCTGAAAAACAATAGTGGAATCACATATTGTTCATGGCAGACTGGCCCTGTGAAGCCTAGCTCAACAGCTCAGCCACCTCTCTCTTGTCCCCAGGATGTCAGCACCTGTAATTCTAGCCTACCGAACCCATGATGTTCTTTCAGCATATTCTCAACCAAGACTTCTTTCTCCCTTAATCATTACCCTTTCCTGATGACATGTCTTTCCCATTTAGTGCACTTGAGTGGCACTCCTGTTACTCAGTTTTCAAACTTTTACAGAAACTTTAATATTTGAAGCTCCTGATAGTGCAAGAAAAGGGGGTGACAAAAAGAAGAGAGTTGGAGGTGGGACCTACCGGATGAGAAGACTAACAGTTAAGTTCCTAGACAGTGGCTGAAACAGGCTGGGAGCACATATATAATTTAGAAAAGCAAGACAGGCTTATATAAAACCACAAACTGATTACCAATAACTTGGAGGAAGAGATAGAGTAACTCTTAAAAAGTCAAATACTGCCTCTGGGGCAACATCCAGCATTTGGATTCAGACCGGGGGGTGTGTCCGAATTCTAACACTTACTGAGGGGGTAGTTTTATTTGAATCATTTAACCATTAATCATTTAATCTCTCTGGCCTTTAGTTTCCTAATCTGAGAGTTTTAAAGAATTACTAAGTCCTGGTCTCTCTATGCCAGCCTAATTTTGTAGGGTAAATTTTTAAAAGTCTCTTTTTCTAAAATTTCTCTAGTGTGATCTGGACACAGTGACTCTGAGGACTGCTAGTAGGAAATGAACCACCTCGGTGGGTTAGCACACCTCCAGCTGCCACCACACCTCTCTGACTGTTGCTGGAGCCCATGACTTCTTTTTCCATGAGGAGTAAGGGAGACCAACTGAGGTGTAGAACTAAAGAACCTTGAGACAGTGGCCGAGGGAATGGGGAAGCAGGTATGTCCTTACCACCTTTCTGATGAAGGAGAGAAGGCAGGAACAGAGACATGCCCTTAATGATCCAAGGTGGTCCTCAGATGGGTTTATCCTGGAAATACTATGAGGTGGTGGCAAAGAAAATACCTACTCAGATACAAGCCATATAGACCTCCGGTCTTGCTTGAAACCCAACCTGTAGGCTGATCCTTGAATAACGTGGCTATGAACTGTGTGGGTCCACTAATACACAGATTTTGTTCAACTGAGCCACTCAATCTGACTGACTTGCACATTCACACCCACACTGTTCAAGGATCAACTGACAGTTGGGAATCTGCATATTTGAAGGGCTGATGTAGGTTACATGTGTATTTTCCACTACATAGGTCAAGGTTGGCGCCCCTAATCCCTGTGTTGTTTAAGGGTCAATTGTATTTGTATTTCAGTAGGAAAAATGCACTGCAATCTCCAAATGAACAATTTATTATTATACGTTTGGAGCTGACAGCACACAAAAACAGGAACACAATCCCAAATGTATAGGTCAGGTTTCTGAATTTACTGAGTCATTTGTGCTTTTCTTTTAGTATAACCATGGAATTACCCTTGACATATTTTAAGCACCAAGCTTTCTTCAAGTCAATACTATCAGCTTCCTTCAATGATTATCTTCCTATTATCAGAGTTTAGGGGACAGAGAACAAGTCTTTAAAGAAGTGACTTTGAATGGACCAATCAATCCCTTCGGGTTACTAGAGAGCTTAACCAAACATTAGAAATTTGCACTAAGAGTCAAAGGCTAATATAAAAACTGGCAAGAATCAATATGATAATGCAAAATAGCCCCAAGTATTTAGCCCTGATCATGTACCAGCATAGTAGTTATCACTAGGCATTAATATTTTGGTCTTTATTTTTCTGGTTAAATATCTACATTGTTAAATTGCTTTCTATTCCCTCTGCTAAAACTTTAGTTTGCACCTGAGTTGGCATATCCTGTGGCAACATCAGGATAACATCGTATATATTTACAAAGCACTTCTGTTTTCGAAGGCTTTCACAGCATTATTTCATCTGTTTCTCACAATAGACCTGAAGCAGGCATATCTAATAGCAGCCTCATTTCATAAGTGGTAGCTGAGTCAGCACTCACTCAGTCAGCAGACAGTGAAGGTGGCACACTTGTCCAAAGGTAGGAAGAACAATGGGAGCTAGATGGCTAGTAAGTGGAGGCCAGATTATAGAAGGCCTGAAGGCTTAAGGGTTGAACCAATTTCGTGGGTAATGAGGTTTTCATCTGGGAAGTGATTAGATTTGTATGACAAGAAGGTAGCAGGAAGAATGAAAGGAGCAGGTGATCACTAAAAAGAGGTGATTTGAAAAACAAGTGCCAGCCTTGGACTGTAGAGCAGTGATGGCGAACCTTTTGAGCTCGGCGTGTCAGCATTTTGAAAAACCCTAACTTAACTCTGGTGCCGTGTCACATATAGAAATTTTTTGATATTTGCAACCATAGTAAAACAAAGATTTATATTTTTGATATTTATTTTACATATTTAAATGCCATTTAACAAAGAAAAATCAACCAAAAAATGAGTTCGCGTGTCACCTCTGACATGCATGTCATAGGTTCGCCATCACTGCTGTAGGGGGTAATCCACTCACTCTAGTCAGCTGGAGCTGCTTACAAACAATCACTTTCAAAAAACTTTGGGAATGGGTCATCTAGTGGTAAGAAAAAGTAGCCACTATGAGCCCCAGAAGTCCTCGGATCCTTCAGGCTGCTATGGTCCTTTACCATCTATGCTCAGAGAGGGCAACAAGGGGCCCTCCTCTCTATTCTTTTGTTCCTTTAGCCCATTAAATAATAACAGGCTACCTCAGGGAAGCGATCTGTCTCTGGTGGGTTCTTTCCATGAGTTGAAAAGTAGACCCACAAAAACTATAGCAGAATCCTAGAAAGAATACTCACAAGATTCGCTCATTCAACGAACTGTTATTGAGCCCCTATTATGTGCTGGTACTGTTTCAGGCAAGAGGAGACAACAAGGGATGAAAGAAAAGCACAGCTCTCATGGAGCCTCCATTATGACCACACCTTTGTGTTTCAGGCCTTCATACTTGCTCTTAACTCTGGCTGGACCACTTTCCCCCCAAAATCCTCACTGAGTCTCTTATTCCCTGACCTCCTTCATATTTTTTTCTCATTATCACCATTTCTGTGAGACCCTCTCCAACCACCCTACTCAAAATTGCATCACCTTCTTATACTTGCCATTCCTTGCTTTTTCCCCTCCGTAACATTTATTACAATCTCACATATTATAAGTTTCTCTTATTTTTTCTTCCTTAATTATTTTTTTTTCTCCCATTAGAATCTAAACTCCAATTGGCAGGGGATTTTGTCTTTTTTTGTTCATGACAATATCCCTGATTCCTTTAGCAGTAACTGGCACCTGGCAGGCATGAAGGTAAGCCAACAAGTTCACTCAGGAATCAAACAGCTGTGGCATGCAGAGGCATGCACCCACTTGTCTTCATTATTACAAACTATATGTACTTTCCCATACAGTCAGGTGTAAGTTCTTTATCTTAAGCATATAATTTTAAAAGCCATAACCATCCAACTTTGTAGGCATTTATCCTTAGTATATGTGGTGTTAGTGGTTTGTTCTGAAACTAAACATTTTCCGTCTCTTACGTTGTCTTCAAACATGAACATTATCTTCTTTTCATATTCAGGCCATTACTATTTTCAGCTAAGTATATGTCAATTCACAATATCAGCACAGCTCCACAAAACATAAAAGTGATGCCAAATGTCTAAGCTTTATTCTTTTCAAATGCAATTTCTGATTTTATTTCTCCATTTCTCCTAAATAGTTAGTTTCTCAATTCAAAGGTTTGGGTTGCAATGATTTTCAGGAAAAAGATACAAAAGGTAAAAAGCCTCTGATATGGAATTAATTAAACACTATGCTCTTTACTTCTCTACCTCCCCAGAAACACTGGCTAACAATGAGAAATGAATGCAAAATGCCAGGACGGCTGATCTTAACACCTGGTTCTCCCACCTACAAATTATGTGACTCAAGACAGCTTTAGCTTCCTATCCATAAAAAGAAGAAAATGATGTTATTCTCTGACCCACTCACCACAAAGAACTTTTCTGAGAATGGAATAAATTAGTATTGCAGTATGCTTCAAACTATAGAGAAGCAATTGTTAAGCCCTTTTCATCTCATGGAACACATAAACTAATTACTAAAATTCTGCAGCACACCAAAAAATATATTTTTGCTGATCTGACCAAAAAAATAGGCATAATTTTGATTTTGATTTTTTTCACACTGGACGACTATTGTGTCAATTTTTTGACAATCTAAGGAACAAGAGGTCAGTGTCCCCAACTAAATAGTTAGATATTGAATGTTTTAAAAATTCTTGAGGCACACTGGTTGAAAATTGATGCTATAGAGCAATACCCAAATGAAAGGTATAATGATTTTGCCTAAAGGTAAAGCCCTCTTAATCATTTCTTGAAGCACAGTAAAACTTAAGAGTATTTTTTCTTCTTCCCATCCCCTTATATCAGGTATATTACAAATATTATACCTAATGTAAGATTTTGATAGATTTTGGGACATACCTTTGATTGTATTGTCCTCAGATTAAGCAAATGAATGTCACAAGGCAGAGATGACAGTAGCGGGGAGAATTCACCCAGCAGCTGAAGGGTGGGCACGGGGCTCTTCTCTGTCATTGTAAAGACAGGGTGATTCAGGAAAGAAGAAGTGATGTGGCTAAGAAGGGAAGGATAACTGACTGCCTTCTTTTCTTCCTCCTATCAAAAAAAAACCCCACAAAAATTCTTAAGAGTTACATATTTGCAGTTTTCATGTTATTAACTGAATTATCTGGTAGGATTTAAATAGAAAGGAAATATGAAAATATATAAATACTTTGATTTTATTAATAACAGCTATAGAAAATGCATAGCAGATTACCAAGTTCAGTCTTAAGCAATAAAAGAAAACGAAGTGTCCATTTAACTCACATGTTAGAAATATATTTTTTTCTGTTGCTTTATTACTAAAAACCCTGAAAACATTTCCCACAAACATTTTAGGACAGGTATAACATTTTACAGAAATTCTTTCCCAACTTACCACAAAACTCTTAAAGTAAATGGACTGGGATGCTCATATATCTTACATGTCATCAAATGTTATCTCCTTTCCCTCAGGTTTACCCATAATATTCTCATGATTTCATCTGTACACTTAACTAGATCAAAGTCATGTGTTGATACAAAGCTATGTTTCACAAATGTTACCAGTGATAGGACTTAAAAACTCTCAAAATAAATAAGGGTTTTAAATAACACAGGTGGCATATCTAGATCATCTGTGTTTTTTTAAAATTGGGTAAATCATTGTCAATTGCTTCACTCTATTCCCCAAACTGGAACTATTACATATGTTATGTAACACTTATCACACATTTATATGATACAAAATTATTCAGTATAATTAAAAATACTTTGGTCTTTGCTATGGTATATACTTGTTGACAAGCATTTCAGCATGTTCTAACATTACATAAGTCTGCCAGGATGGGGACATACATATGGTAGATGACACACAATTAAATCAACGACTAAGCAGAACCATCACCAATGATGCGTAAGGTGTAAAAGCAGACAGAAATGCACTAGAAAGAGAAAATTTATGTAGAAAGATCTTATGTTCACCAGTGGCATTGGAGGTAAATTTAAATTTGTATCTTATTTCTAAAATGGCTATCTCACTGATATCTTCTGATGTTACATCCTTTTTCAAATGAAAGGCTTGGCTACTTATCTGTGTGAAAAGGTAGGATTTATATAAGATACAGAGCTTAAAATTCAGAATGTCAGATTAGCATACAACAGAGGGTGTTAGTGAAAAGTGACAAGCATCGTGTCTGTAGCAAACTGTAGATGTCATTACAATTTAGATCAGGGAAGAGAAAAAAAGATTTTTAAAGGCAGCAGAGAGACACACAATATTAAGATACTGACAAAAAATATGAGGTCTGAGTTGTAAAAAATGTATCCATTCCACATTTTTTAAGGAAAAATTAAATAAAGCATATAAAGTATTATTCTCCAACAATATTGAAATTTAATGTAGCTTGTAAAATAATATGAACAGAGAAGGAACATTTTCAATAAGACACTTTAAATGTGGTCCAAGATCAAAGAACTTCACAATGTAGGTCAGGATGGCTGACAAAATCACCTTTGAGTAATAGAGATAAAAGATTGTGACAGAAAGAAAACACCTGCCTTATCAGATTCAGGAGCCATTAAGTTCATTTTAGGTCAAGAAACACTCAGAAAAAGCTCTCTGACTCTGTTCTATGTAATTGGAAAAATCCCTGGACACCATAGTGAGAAGACGCGGGACTTCTTGATGGATTATCTATACACATAGTAACATGCATATTTACCTTTCCTTTGGTGTGCACATTAACACCAAATCAGTTCACCCAACCCTCAGTGTTTCCCCCTAATTGATCATACACAGGAATGGCTTGGGGAGCTTTTAAAAAGCACAGATCCCCAGGCAGGGTTGGGGCCTGGAAAGGTGAAGCTTAATGCCACCCCTTTCCAGGTAAATCTCATGTAGTCGGTCCCACACAGCTCTGTGGACCTGTGCTGAGAACTGCCACCCCAGACAGACCCCTTCCAACTTTCTAGAAGAAACAGAATGCCCTCTGGAACCAAGAGTATAAGCCTCACCTTTTTAACTAGTTTTGGATTAAAAAAACACACACAGGATACAGACTCCAAAACACTTTCATGAAAAGTCTCATCAAAGAAACAATGTCATGAATTTAAGTACTCTGAAAATTCAAGAACTGTACCATTTATAGTTCTAAGCAAGATAAGGCAGGAGAATTTAGAGAAGAGAGAGAGTTCAGTGCCATAACAGCACCATGGAGAATGATACGGCTGGAAGCTGGTTGGGTGAGAAGGACCCACCATCCACACACCTTCATAACATATTCACAATGACAGGTGGCTCACAAAGATATTTAACTGCTGAACTACCATTATTTGGATTCATTTCCTAGACAGGCAATCTTTTCACAGTAATGCTTATGATAAACCCAAAGTTTATAAACCATGTTCAAGTGTTTGTGCTATAAATGAATTCCTCAGCCTTGTATGTAGTAACTAATACACTATTATAAACATTACTAGGGGCCCAGTGCATGAATTTGTGCACCTTGAAAGGACCTGTGGGCTACAAGGCTGCGGTAGGCATCCCTGCCCGGCCACTCCCACCATAGCCCCTGGTCCCCTGTCTGCCAGCAGCCCTGCTCTCGCTGCCGCTGCTCACACACTCTGAGTGATTGGGGCCGGTGCTGTCAGCGGGTGTGAGAGGCAGCTGCTGCCTCAATTGCCCCTCAGGAGCAGGGGGAGGTGAAGAAGCCCTCAGGGGTGATTGGGGCTGGCAGCTGCTACTCACACCTGCTGACAGCACTGAGCGATCGGGACCAGCGCTGGGTACTGGCAGTGGGTGTGAGCTCCAGGTGGGACTGCAGCACACGGGAGCAAAGAATTTTCAGTAACCATCAGAGCCTTGCCCTAATGACAGTGACCAGTACCCCACCTTGGTCTGTGCCCCCCACTCACCTGCTCCACCATCCCACCACGGCCGACACCTGCCATGTTCCTCACACGCCCTGTGGTGGTCAGCGCACATCATAGCAACCAGTTGTTCGGTCATTTGGTCTATTTGCATATTAGAGTTATATATATATATATATATATATTTGTTTTATTGTTGGTTAGAAGGCTTCAGAGTATACAAGTCTAGTTTTCTCCTTGCAACATGTGTGAAATTAAAATATTTTTTTAGCACATTCTGATCCAAACCACACTAAGTTGAGATCATCTACACTGGGTTCTAGCTCTTATTTCCTAAGCCAAACTTCTTGTCAGGCTCCTTGCTGCCCTTCATTAAGCCCACTCATGTTACCTAATCCCTAAACACCAAAGGTTTCCATTTCACTTACTTCCAAACTTGCTAAATTATATACGATAGTGAGAGATTGTTTTTTAGTCACATTTGATTATTCAGTATGATCTGACATGGTGAGAACTTGATAATGTTTGTTGAACTTCATTTATTAATTTAATAAGCAAATGCAATACAAATAAATCAGAGAAAAATATTAGAGGGGAGGAAGTAAAAAGACAGAGGGAAATAGAAGAATGAAAATATATGGAATCTAAAGATTTAGAGATAAAGTATCATATAGCAGAACTGAAGTTTGGTAGTTTGTGGGTCTAATTTGCCTATAGAAATGTTTTGGGAGGTCAGCATGGTATTAAAAAGTTGTTTGTTTTTCAGGCAACTCTCAATAATAGGAAAAAAAATCCAGGAGATTTCACATTAAAATAGTAAAAAATGATAGTAACAAAAACTCCCCCAAAACGATTAATTTTTTTTTAACCCCAAACACAGGAACTTCAAGTCATACTGGGCTTCAGTTTACCATACCAGTTGCCAGCAAGACTATAGTGGGAGTAAGGGTCAAAGAAATAAATCAGACATGGTCAGTGCCAAAAAGATAATTCCCATGTTTCACTTCTGCTGACCATTGAGTATCATTACCATTGGAGTAACCCTGGATGAATAGAAGTGAGTCCTGTTCGCCAGGGTTCCACAGAGAGGACTGTTCCAGTCCTTATTCTCACTGCCTCTCTGTGGAATTACTCCAATGAGGCTCTGACAGGGTCAGCCTTCCCATTAAAATGCCTTCCTGCCCAGAATGTCTCCCCACCTCAGTTTCTACCATCAATTTTTAAGAATTTAAGACCTGAGAAAATAAAAACACCTTTTAGAAAATTTATGCATATGTAACCCTCCTTTATCAAATGTCTTTTTAATCAAACTCACTAGAAATTAAAATGTATTTTCTCTTCTCTAGTTCATTTTTTATTTAAAAGAATCTATTGATTTAAGCCTAAGAACTTATAGCTGAGCAAAAGAAAAATTTAACCAACATAGGATTACAAAAACATTGGATCAAATTTAAATCAATTAGTCTCTAAGCTTTGAATGGGAATAAACAAATTATTTAACTTGTAAGTGAAAGCTTTATAGGTCTGACATGAAAATTCTTATTGCCATAGTTAACAGTTTTGCAAATTAGTGTCTATATAGAAAGAAAAATCATAAAAGCCAGAAACATTTTCAGGAGAAAAAGACAATAGCTGCAAGTACTCCAACATATTTCCTATGCAGTTTTAGTCTTAAAACTAAGCTATTGTCAGTAGTTGATGTAAACCTTTAGTTCCAAGAACTGGTATAAATCTTGACATCTAAAATGGATATTAAAATCTTTTTCCTGAAAAATTCTAGATATTGGAAGAATTCTTTGCTTAATTAGATGTTGATATTTCATTCAATGGACTAGGATTTTACTGATAGAATGCTTACGAAAGGCAGAGGCCCTGTGGGGCACATGAAAATGAAGTAGACAAGCTCTTGGAATTTAGTAGGGGGAGTAGAAAATGCATACAGTGACAGGAAGTAAGCAGTAACTGTAATAAACACAGTGGCACAGTGTGTAGTCACAGCTCACTCATTCATACAATATATACTGGGTGCTTCCTTTGCTAGGAACAGCCTAGAAGCAGAGAGAGACATAGCCTCTACTTTCAGGGAGTATACTGTCCAAAGGAAAAGACAACAAAGTGGAAAGTCACAACATGCACACATGAAGGAGACATGCCCAGATCTGAGGGAGCATAGAAGGTGATTGGACCGGCTCCAGCAGAAGCAGTTGACAAAATGAGCTCTGATCTGAAATAGAACTAAGAGTCCCCTGGGCAAAGAGGATGAAAAACACGCATAAGGTGCGGTGGGCGTATGGTGCATGAAAAGTACTTAGGACTGAAAGGAAATCAGTGGGCTCAGAGCAGAAATAGCGAGAGTCACGCCGAATGAGGAGAGAGGATAGGCAGGGCCCATATACGAGGGGCTCTGTAGGCTTTGGTAAGGTTTTGGCTTTTATACTGAGAGCAATGAGAAGACATCAGAGGGCTTCACCAGTGAGGCAATGAAGCTAGCTTTTGTTTTTTTGTTGTTTTGTAAATTAAATTTATTGGGGTGACATTGGTCAACATGATCATATAGGTTTCAGGTGTGGGTTTCTATATCATAAGATCTGTATATTGCACCATGTACCCACCACCCAAAGTCAAATCTTCTCCCATCACCATATATTAGGACCCTTCTCACCCCAACTCCTTCCCTCTGGCAACCACCATACCGCTGTTTGTGCTCATGAGTTTTAGCTTTAGTTTTGAAAAAAAAAAAATCCAAAAACAAAAACATGCTTCCTGGATTAAGAAAAAACAGCAGAAAAGAGAGCAGCAGCATGGATGCACAGGCTAGCTCCAGGAAATGCATGATGTTAGTTGAGATTAGGGTGGTTGAAATATTTAGTCAATGAGATAGCCAAGCACTGGTGATCACTATTGTGAGAAAGGGCTGGTGAGGGATAAATGTCTGAGAGATGACTCCTAGGTGGCTGGCACTGGATGGAAGGTGGTGCTCATCACCAAGACAAGGAACATTGAGAAGGGTCAGGTTTGAGAAGGGAGATCATGAGAGTAATTTTCAATATGTTGAGTTTCAGGTGCTGTTACAAATGTAGAAAGAAATAACAGGAAACAACTAGACAGATGGAATATGTATTTGTGGGTTCCATATGCCAGGGGTGGTCACCAAAGCCAGGGGAGTAGGAGAGGTTGCAGAGGGAAAACATAAAAAGGAAAGGGAGGCCTGGGGCCAAGCCTTGAGAGCTCTGATTAGCTCTTGAGAACTAAAGAACTATAAGAATTATAGAGAAAGAACTGCCCAAGAGAAAGGAAACAATCCTACTTAGTGTGGTGCCATGGAAGCCCTGGCTGGACAGTGTTTTAAGAAATGACAATGGTCAGTGTCCAATGCTGCTGAAAGGTGAAGTAAGTGAACTGATCAGATAGTGCATCATCTAGATACACTCAGCTGCATCTAGTGACATTGGCAAGAATGAATGATAGAGGCTAACACCAGATTCAAATAAATTAAGTGTGAGAAGAAAGTGATAAAATAAACTTATCTTATAAACTTTGACTCAAGATGGTAGGGGAGATAGGAAATGAGATTTGGAAATGAGAATCTGAGTGAGGGCTGTTTTCTGTTTTAAGTTTTAATGGGAGAAAATAAAGAGTGTTTAAAAGCGAACAGAAAGGATTTCCTGTGAGGGACAGGGGAAGGTAAAGAGGGAGAATAACTAGTAATAGGATCTTGAGGAGGGAGATTAAGCCAAGTTCCAAGGACAAGCAGAGGCACTGGCCTAAGAGGAAAGGAAGGTAAATGTCTCTACTGTAACATGAGGAAAGAAAGAAAGGGTGGGAGCTGATGCTTGGTATCTAGAATAGCAAGCATTGCTGAATGGCTCTCTATAAAGTATACAGTGAAGTCACTGGCTGAAATAGTGGAAGATTTGAAATGGTGAGTGCAGAAAGAGAAAAAGAGGAGTAAAAAGACCATCTCAAGGGCCACTTGAGCTGGTAATTAGTAATTTATGAAGGAATCTGAGGTACTTTATTGGCACTTGAAGAAGCATATTGTCAGACTGATTTATGTCCAACTGATCTTTGGCCAGACATGGAATGTTGGGCTTTTACTTCAAAGAATGAAAACTGAACAAGAAGACAGACAAGTAAATCCATTTTCAATAGATGAGGTTAAGACTAAAATAAGTACATTAAGGTTTCAAATCCATTTTACTAATCAAACTTATGCTAAATATGTTACTAAGCTCTATTCCTTAGCACACACTTTCAAAATAATTTCAGGAAATTTCACCAAAACTGATTTCTTAACCTTACTTTATATTTACATAATAAGAAAAAAATTAAGATGACCTAAATGCAAATCTTACATTATATGTGTGTGTGTGTATAAAACTGAAGTTCTCTTTCTTGTGAATATAGGCTAAACCTATTTTAAACATATCACTATATTGAAAATTGTAAAAAATAAAAAAGTGGAAAGTTACAATTTCAAATTGTGGATGACACATTATTTTTTCCCCTACCATATTCACGACAGTTCTTTTTTCTAGTAGTATTCGAAATAAATTAGCTGTAATCTTGTTGTCATGGACACCTTGCTCAAGCCCACGATTATCATCTTGCATGAGTCTTCGATCCATGATAACTTCAATCTGACCTACGAAAAAACAAATGAAAAAATTGGCCAGGGTTATTTAATACAAAGATCTAGTGAGGAACATGTAAGTACAGGCATGGTCTTGATTCAAGTTTCTCCTTTAGTCAAGGAGACAAATCTACAACTTTTTCTCAATAATGGCTTAAGGTAGCCAGTATAAAAACATGATTAAATTTCTACTTTTATTCATTAATGTCTAGTAAAATCTGAAAAGAAATTTAAAAAGATAAAAATTAAAACTTTAAGTATTAATATAAAATTCAAAAATTAATCTAAAGAGTAAATTAAGCCTCCAAAATTTTTGGTGTCACCATCTGGAATTTAAAAATGTTTATGGGGCTCATTACAAAATGCACAGCACACAGGGAGCAATAAAACAAATACAGATGGGTAGGATCTAACTAGGACTTGAAATATTTAGGTAACTTGATATGTGCTGATCTCTGAAGAAGCCCTGGGATTTGGTAACTACTACCATGAACCCCCTTCCCTCCAAGACTATGTTAGTAGCTTTTCCACTCTCCTATTTCCTCTAGCTCCAAGAGGGGTCACTGTGGTTCCTTTATTTGCTGTGCAATAATTTCACATCTCCTCTAATTTAAATTGTAAGCTAATGGTTAGGTTATGAGTATAAAAATTAAAAAAAAGAAAAAGAAAGAAATCCAGTCATATTATATATTTGAGATCATACTAAAAATAAGACCCTAAAGTTTATTCATTCATTCATTCCTTCATCCACATTTGTTACTTATTAAATGATCATGTAGTATAAAGGAGCTGAATATACATAAAATATTTTAATAACTATTACTCTTACGTAGTCAAACCAACTCTTTCCTTTCTTTCTTAGTTTGGGTATCCAGATAAAATGACCAGGCGTTTCATTGTCATTCCTCCATATTTTAGAAGACAACTGTCTAGTCTAGAACCTTTCTTCAGGCACTGGGACTAATTGGCTCCATGCCTATGAAGACAATTAGAGTTTGATCACTTCACACCCAAATTATTACATCAATCTCTTGGCAATTACTAAATCTTCTCCCTGTCAGGAAACGTTGGTCCATATAATAAGTGACCCTAATCTAAATAGTTTTCATGTCTGTAGCTATCAAGCACTAGGGTATCTGGATGTCTATGGCAGGGGCTGAGGAGGGAAGTGAGAGAAGACTCATGGTTCACAATTGCTTGAGTCCTAATGACTCAACCCTGTTTAGAGCCCACCTTTGAGATTTTAAGACAGGTTTAAAAATGGATAAGTCAAGAGTCACATTTGGCACAAAGATGTTTTATGTTCTGATATTGGGAAAAATTAAGTCAACATTTACAGTTGGGCATCTATATATATAAAATGCTAATGTGCAAAGTGTCCCCTTGGTAGTTCGAATGGGAGGCAGGGAGTTCGATCGCTCACTATGATGTGCACTGACCACCAGGGGGTGGTGCGGAACATGGCAGGCGACCAGCAGCGATGGCGGGGTGCTGAGGGAGCAAGGGAAGGAGGAGGCAGGGAGGTGGGGAGGCAGGGGTGGTGGCTATGCACAGGTGGCAAGGGAAGGAGAAGGAGGGGAACCTGATTGGCCCTGATTACTGGCCAGGCCTAGGGACACTACCTGTGCACAAATTTCTTGCACCGGGCCTCTAGTCTTCATATAAAATTCCAGATTTCTGGGCTCTTTAAAAACTGCAGCATTTGGCAGCACTGGGCCCCCTCTCCCCATGGAGACAATGTACTGGCACTATGCAGTGGCCACCCCACTGCACATGGGTTTGCTCTAGGTTGCTCAAGTTTCACCATCCAAACCAAATTTCTGACGTGAGGCCATTATTATTTTTATAACTTCATGATGTCTTTATGAGATGACTGCATGATTTTGTCTAGTACAGACCACAAGAAAAATGAGAACTAGTATTTTTTGTGTATATGTGGAAGTACAGAATGTATGCATATGCCTAATATAAAAAGTGTCAAATAATAAGTCAGGCATCTCAACTCATTTATTTGCCTAGCTCCTTAAGACACTTAGCAATTTTTTGCATGTAATGAAGGAAGAACTGATGACCTATCCTATATAATAAAAGCCTAATATGCAAATCAACTGGACGGTGGAATGACCAGTCACTGTGATGCGCACTGACCATCAGGGGGCAGATACAAAATGCAGGAGTTGCCCCCAGCCCACAGACCCCAGGCCAGCAAAGGTGGGTGTCAGTGGGGGGTCCCCTGATCGCCCTGCCAGTTGCCCGACAGATCAACCCTGATTGCCGGCCAGGTCTAGGGACCCTACCCATGCATGAATTTCATTTCGTGCATTGGGCCTCTAGTAAATGATAATTAAAAATCCTATATAATAAGAGAGGAATATGCTAATTAGCCCTTACATCCTGAGGCGTAACGACCAAGCGCTTCATGACCAGATCACGGTTCAGGAGGAGGATGGGCCAGGGAGGTACAAGTGGCTGCAGAGAGCTACAGGAGGCGGCAGCGCAGGGCTGGGGGAGCTATAGGAGGACAGCAATGGCGGGGAGGGATGAAGGGGGCAAGGGGAGCTACAGGAGGGAAGGGAAGTGGGTGGAGAGCTATAGGAGGGCGGCAGCGACCTACTGGCTAAAAGTGGGTGGCAGAGAGCTACAGGACAGGGCAGGGCAGCAAGCAAGCAGGAGGCGGAGAGCTATAAAAGAGGGCAGGGCAACAACTATGAGGGGACGGCGGGGCGGGGGGGAGCTATAGGAGGGCGGCAGTGACCTACTGGCACACGGATTCGTGCGCAGGGTTACTAGTACGTATCATAAAAGACAAAAGCATCTCAATAGAAACTTTTCAAAAATTAATCAGTATCTACTACTATTTTCTTTCTCCATCTCATTCTCTTCTTTGGAATCATTAAAGTCATGTCTGTTACCTCTATATCCCCCTATCTGTATCATCTCTACTCCCTTCCTTCTTTTGGGTGGTGGTGCAAAAGCATGTGATTCAGGAGAGGACCTAAATTTGAACTGTAACCTTCCAGCTTTGGAACTAAGTTATCTACAGTTGGAGTTTCTGCATCCATTTAATCACAATAGCCCATTCTGCAAACAATGGGCTATCAGGTGAGGTAAATTATCTTGAAAAACAATCAGTTTCACAGAAGTTTAGGTCCTTGTTCTTCACCTAAAATTGAAGAAATCCATCATTTTATGTTATTCTCACAAAACCCAAAATGAACTAATAGTCCGGTTCTCAAAAGAAACCTGGTAAGTGGAGATGATAATTAAAAAAAGTCATACACTTGTGTATATGTGAACTGAAACTTACAAGATCAAAAAGAATCTAAACAATACATACCACTTTCCAAACTCGATACACCTAAAGACTGAGCAGAGAGTAGGGTCAAGCGGTGCTGGGCATCCTGGATATACGCCATTGTGGTCATCGGATACACATTTGCTTGAAGAGGTAACTTGTTCATTGTCATTCTAGGTTGAATCTGTAAGGTCATACAATTATATTTCTTTTAGAAAATTGAGTAATATTTACATAGGACCTTTTAAAAATTAGTATTAACTACAGATGACTTCTTCCAAAGAGGAAAAGAAACAGCTTCCTTTCTTATTCAAGGTTAGAGCTAATTTAAAACCTGAAACATTCTTCAAAACAATATTAAAAAAAATCACAAAATTTTTAGAAAACAATTTTTAAGAGACTTAGAACTTGTCCAGATTTTTAAAATATGCATTCCTATTTAAATTCAGAATAAACATCCTTAACAAAAGTCTTCTAGCTCTCCAATATTTGCATAAAAATTATAAGGGTATTAAGTATTCATTTCTTATCTAAATCTAACATACTGCTTTTGTAATGAATGCTAAGCATAATAGCTCTTTATCTTCTTTCAAGAAATATCTTATAATTCTTCTAAAATCAGTCTGAATAAGTATCCCAGACCTTCTCATCAAATCCTCTAATATATTACATTATAACAATCAAATGCATATTTATGGTTATAAACGATTCAATGCATACTCTTCTTGTTTAGTTTCAATGTAGATAGTTCCAAATTCTAATTTTTCTTGTTCTAGTATCTGAATGTGTGAAATACAACCCCAACTTTAGTTTCTGAGAGAGATTGACAGTGCACTAAACCAGTCTGGGGCAAGAAGCCTCACTCCAACATCAGGAGGAGACATCAAACAGAGACTCTGTTATCGGGAAACTTATCCACACCACATAAAATGTAATCTCTTCTTTTAAACTCATAAAAATTTGACATGAAACTAAAGCAAAAAAGTTAACATAATAGTGAACATGTATTGAGAACCCATTAACACTAGGCACAGTGCTGGGAATTTCACAGATAAAACCTTTAATCTCCACAACTCTGCAATGTATCTTTCAGTTTACTGGTTGTATGGAACAGTGCCTTCACAAATTCATGTTCATCCAGAACCTATGAATGTGATTTTATTTTGAAATAGGATTCCTGCTCATATACTCAAGTTGCACTGTATTAGAGTAGGTTCTAATCCATTGATTGGTATTCTTATAAAGAAAGGAAAATCAGGACACAGAAGGACACGTATAGAAACACAAGGAGACAGCATGTGACTGTGGAGGCACAGATTGAAGTGATGTGTTTATAAGGCAAAGTGTACCAAGGGTGGCCTGAACCTACCAGAAGCTAGAAGAAGCGAGGAAGGCTATTTCCCTAGAGCATCTGGAGGGAGGTGGCCCTGCTGACACCTTGATTTAGGACTTCTAGTGTCCCAAACTGTGAGGGAATAATTCCTGTTGTTTTAAGCTATCCAGCTTGGGGTTATTTTTATCGCAGTCTCAAGAAATTCATAAACTAGTAAAGAAACAACTATGAAAAGGTAAAATAAAAAGCTAGCTTGAAAGAATTCTCCATTTCTCCTTTCCAATCCTGATCTTCCCACTCCAAATAACTCATATTATTTTAAAATATATATATATTTTTATTGATTTCAGAGAGGAAAAGAGAGGGAGAGAGAGATAGAAACATCAATGACAAGAGAGAATCGCTGATCAGCTACCTCCTGCACCCCCCACCGACTGGGGACCGAGCCCACAACCCAGGCATGTGCCCAACGGGGAATCAAAATGTGACCTCCTGGTTCATAGAGAGATGCTCAATCACTGAGTCACACCAGCCAGGCTAACTCATATACTTTTAAGAAAAAGGACATTTCAATCTCACAACTGTGTGGCTGTTACCCTCATTCCCCAGCTGTAGGTCTAGATTTCTAGTCTTGCCCAAGTATCAGTCTTTCCAAAGGTTAAAAAAGAGTGTATTTTAAAAGCAGAAATATTAGGCTATAGACTTAAAAATGATATTTTCCTATTTATTCAAATGCTCGATCTTTAAAAATAAAATTTTTATTCATTTTTACTAACTTTTTTTCATTCATGTATACACCCACACACATACAAATAATTGCTTCTGAAAATTTTAAGAAAAGACTTTCTTTTGTATACAAAGAAATGAATCACTATAAAGTAGGGGCTTCATTTGAAAACCAAACAGCTGTAGTAAAATTAACATGTTAATTCAAAATGTATTTTGCAATTTTTATGCTTTGGAAAAGGTTTAAATTTAAGTTTTGCAGGAAATTGTAAAAGAGAAAATTATCACAATTCTGTCCACTCATTCGAATTGAAAATCAGACAAAGTAAAAGCATTTGTTGTGAAATTATTTCTATTCATAGCCAGAAATTTCTAAAATGTTAATGTCTCAAAAACATGCTAATGTTTTTAATAGTATTACTTCAAAGATATATGTCACACCCATTAACGCTGAGTACAGAGATTTAGGTAATAATCAAAAGAGTTTTATTAAATTAGAGAACTGACAATCTGAAAAATGTTATGAATCAATTTTCTCATTACTATTTCAAGAATATTTTGATTAAATACGTATCTACTCACTTTTCTAAGTAGACATGTGTTTATATGCATATATACATATATGCATATATGTATGTGTAATAAGGTACACACCCTCCTCTCCAATAAAGAGAAGGAAAAAGGTTTCCTGAAAGAAAACTTTTTACTAGGTTATACATTTAAAAATTATATAGAGCCCTAACTGGTTTGGCTCAGTGGATAGAGCGTCGGCCTGCGGACTCAAGGGTCCCAGGTTCGATTACGGTCAAGGGCATGTACCTTGGTTGCGGGCACATCCCCAGTAGCTGGTGTGCAGGAGGCAGCTGATCGAAATTTCTCTCTCATTGATGTTTCTAACTCTCTATCCCTCTCCCTTCCTCTCTGTAAAAAATCAATAAAATATATTTAAAAAATAAATAAAAAAATTATATAGAATAAGCTAAATATGCATAGGCCAATTTCTTATGAGAAAAAGTATGTAATCCATCAATCCCTAATGATGTTTCCTTTATATTAAATTCATATATACTTTGGCACCATGTTATTTAACATGCATAATTGTCACCAAATCTTCCTTTGAAAAAAATAAATTCTTACAAATAGATGATTTACAAAATACTCTATCAGTTAGTTAGCTGTCGTAATTTTGGAAATCTAGTTAATAAAGAACCTACAAATGTTTTATTTCAAAAATAATTTGTGACCTTAAGCCTATTTTTGAAAGGATGCAAAATTAATTGGCCATTACTATATATAAAAGTTACGCACGCACATAACTTAGACATTTAAAAGGAAAATTACCTGGTATCCATTTAGGTCTGTATAAAATCTATTTTGGCTGTTTATGTTAGAAGAAATTCTCATTGCAATCTCACGGTTATATTCTTTTCGGATGTCCACAATATTGGAAACTTCCACAGACTGTCCTTCTATTCCTAGATTTAAAAGAATATGCACAATAGAAAGAAATTTATTGCCCACTATTTTTAAATATACTCTCCAGAACTCCTTCCAAAGTTGCATATATTTTCCTGTTTTCTATCTTCTATCTTTACCAACTCTCATATGCTAAACAGTGTCACAATTCACCTTTTCTTTTTTTTAACTATCATGGCAGATAACATTCATTCAGGGGCACATATAACTTAACAGAAAGATGAAGAGGTTGGTGGAGATAAATGCAGATGAAATATAACATGCAAATTATTCTCTAATGAGTTCTAGAGGGGAAAGAGGACATTAAATGAGAAAAGGTCAGCTCCAATCCAGGCTAGTCCACCTCTTGTCTGCACCACTGTTCCCCAATAGAATCATTCGAGCCCACTTCTTCACCCTTTTCTCCTCACATACTGGAAATTATGAGCGGTGAAATTTATACTCTGTTGGTTCAAGATACCATATCTAGGAAAAGAGACATGATTAATAGCTAAAACTGATATTTCCATATTACTACTTTAGAGTATAATCTGGAGAGCTCCCCAGAAGTTAAAGCAATTTTAATTGAGTTTGGTATTTCTTAGGACCCCTTGTTTTTTAGTGCTTCATTGTGCCCTTTGTTATACAAAGCAGAGGACAGCTTGGAGAAGTATCAGATGTGTCAGACTTTCTTTTTATTAAGCTTAAAGTGTTTACAAATTTCTATCATGCTGCCCTAACTGCTTGTCAGGTCCTCAGTGAAGCCTTGGGTCTATTTTAGAGATGCAGGGAGGAGTTATGAAGAAACACAACACTCTTAATACAGAACTAAGTGTGTGTAAGATATTACAGGATCTTCAAAGAAGGAAAGTGATCAAAAGAAGAAAGATTGACCCTATCTTATTTCACAGAGCTGAAGTTTTTTGAGATTCTAAGACATTCACTTGCCTGCAGTTGTTATTCGTTACCTGCTTCTCCCTATTCCTCACACAATCGGCCACTCTGCTGACAGCCAGAACTTGTTAGACAAAGAGGGCTGTGTAAGAAAAAATGAGGAGGAGAAGGGAGCAAGGAAGACTTTTTCTAGGAGCCAAGAAGAATCCCCAGAGCTTATAGAAGGTGACAGGAAATAGTGAATGAAAAGAAATTTGAATCTGTGAGATTTGTGGAAAAGAATGAAATGCAACCGGGCCAGGCATTAAAGATTTATGTGAAAATAAACTGGAAATTATAAAGCATAAATAATGTGGTGAAAATACTAAACGGGTTAAGGATTTTCAGAATGCTTACTGAAATTCTTTTTTTGGTAGATGCTGCTCTTCCAACTCAATAATCTCAGTGACAGCTCACTTCAGTTCCTTACCATGTTCATAAAGCTATTATGAGTATGGTCTACATGAGTCGGGGAAGGGGAGCCTTTCCCCCTGCTTTATGGACACAGTCTGAACCACTAACCTCTGCCAGTTAAATATACATATGTATTTCCTTCTGAGAATTACCAGAAGAATCTGCCAAGACAGCTGACCCAAATATATCTCCACTACTATTGGGAAGTTAAATAAAACCACACAGAGTGATGATAGGATAACAGTATCTTCTTTGAACTCGGAAATGTATTACTGTAAATGCAAATTTCATTTCAGTATGCTTAGATTAGCCATAATATTGTTCAAAAACCAAAGGAATTGCATATTGAATTTTAATAGGCAAGCTTCTATAAATGAACCAAAAATGCTTCAAACATAAAATGCAGCACTAGGGATGACAGTACTCATGCAGCACTGGGGAAACAGAAGGTCACAAGTAAACTCTAATCTACTGGACACATTAGTAGGGTTTTTAAAACTGTTTTATGTATTCTCCTCTCTAGATTGGATATTTTCTCAGGGGTCAACAGAATACAAAAATGAAATAAAGTCTTGACAAAGAAGAGTGTCATTAATTTCAAGTCATGTATCTCTGGAAAAAATTTACAGAAAACACACTTCAGAAAAAAATTAATAATTTCACATCACCTCTAGCAATAACAAATTATTTCTGTTGAGAAAATCATCTTTCTCAAGCTCAATATTATGCTCAAATCCTGTTGTGGCAACAAATCCTAAAGCTCCTTTAAAAGGAGCATCTATATCCATTCAAAATTCAGCAAGACATTAATTTAAATTCTATGCCCGAAAAGACTTTTAAAATAAGATCAAACTTATTATATGTATATAAATAAACCAAATAAAACCTGTCATAGTAATAAAAGCAAGGAGGTACCCTAGTTCTCAAAGGTAATTTATTATTATTATTATTTTTAAAATATGTGTGAGGGAGAGAGAGCATTGTCAACTTTTCTTATTGTGTCAAGAATTCCCTAAAGAGTATGTACCATGCCATTCCCAAAGCAGATCAGAGGATTGAGGGGAGAACTCCCTGGGAAGCAGGGGTACAGACCCAGTGGTTCCAGTGGCCTGCTGGATCCTTGCAGAATGTGGCAGCAAAAGGTATTTTAACCGAAGTAGTTCTACCTAAGCATGAATGACTAGGGCTCAACCCTGGGAAAGGAAACGGTAACTACTTTATAAGAGTAGTCCATGGGGGTGATAGGAAGATGCCATTTCCAGGTTAAAAAGAAAAGTTCCCTCTTGCTGTTAATGCCTCACATTATGCCTTAGAGAAGAGAGAATAAAGATTGTTTATCCTTATTAACATAGGCAATGCCAAGTAAGAACAGAGTCAATCCACGGGTGAACAGCTATAACAGAGAAGCCAAAAGAGTCTTTCCTCAACTTTTTTTTCCCTCCCTAGAACCTGTTGGCTTCTCACAAACACAGACTCCTACACACCATCTTTGCATTCCAGTTTTTAAGAAGGTTTTGGGCATGTGGTAGGTATTGAATCACTTGTCATGTAGAAATTAGCTGACATGGGAAATGAAAAGAATGAGGTAGCTCTCTGTCCTGACCAAGAAAGATCTGATGTAAAAGACTAATGCAGTACTTGTAGAGTATGATAAACTTTATGCTGAAAACAGACACAAACACCATAGAGTAAAACCTCAATATAACAGACTATTTTAGGCAAGGGCGTATCTATTAAGGCTGAAGTCCATTATATAATAAAGTAGGTTTTCCGAATACTTATGTTAAGAATTTGACAAATTAGTTAGTTTACATGTTTTTACTTATGTAGACATGTTTGTTTAATAAAATTAAGCATGTTTGAAAAGTTTACAGAAAAGTTTTTTTAACTATATTACTGTAATTTTAAATTTATACTGAATAGGTCTAGTAAATACGTGCATTCACCAGTCACCATGAGTGAACAAATGCACATGGCTGGGGCTAGGCTTAGAGCATATGGGAACATCGATTGGAACGCATTAAAAATGCTGCAGAAAGTCATGCCACACGACAACAAAACCAATTACCTCTCGAGATGAAGTGTGATCATGTATTAATCATTCACCGAATACTGTTTACAAGCAGTGACTCTTGGATTGAAATATGTAGACTATAGTTGTAGACATGTAATATTTATTTACATCAGTGAAATTACCACAATGTTTTTTCCAACATATAGCCTACTCGCTAAAATTTGCTAAAAATAACAGTGGATTAATAACAAAAAAATAACCTGTTAATTTAATTATAAGCAATCTTGGTTAAAAGCATTTTAAAATTAACATGGTGTTAATTTTCACATATGATATACAGCCTAGAAATTCTGTCCATTAAATTCAAAGTCCATTAAATCAAGGTCTGCAAAATCAAGTTTACTATATT